TGAGAAAAATGGTGACGTGTTCAATACTTGTTTTACCCGCTGTATATATCTTCCAAGAGTTTTTGAAATTTACATATGCTAAAAAAATTGTGATCTGACCTGGACCGGAGATTGGGAAGACAGCACACAACTGCTGCTGCTTAAGCTGTGGAATCACAACCCCACCCCCCATCCCCCACTTACAAAGTTTACGGAAGTTGACAAATTTACGTAGTGTAAACCAATGATTCCCAACCAGGGGTACACAAGCATATTACAGGGGGTACGTGGAAAAATGTGTGTAAAAAAAGTAAATAAAAATAGGACTGAGATTTCTAGGGCCCTATGAGTTCCGCAATTCAGAAATTGCAGTCGGAATCACAGAATTAACACAAAATGGAATCCTGCATAAAATGTGGAATCTCATGGAATTTGCTCATTTTGGTGAGTTTCTGACATATTTTGGACTCTGCTGCTTCCTTCACCTGCCATTACCTGGTTTATATATTTATTATTCACTTTCAAGGCAACATTTTTATCTTTGTTTAATTTGAGTTGAAAAGAATAAAATGCCAGAAAATTAAACATGCTAGGGGGCTAAATAAATATTTTTAATTTTAAAATCAGTTGTAGTACATTATAGTTTTAGAGAATCATCATTACATTTGACTGAAGGGATTTTAGTATGACAAAATGGCTCAAAGCATACACAAGTCTAAAAAGGTTGAGAACCCCTGGTCTAAAGTCCTGAAACATTCCAGCACTTTCAGGATCTTGGACAGTTCCTTCAGTCCTTCACACTTTCCAAGGTCCTAAAATGCTCCAGCACTTTCAGGACCTTGGACAGTTCCTTCAGTCCTTCACACTTTCCAAGGTCCTAAAATGTTCCAGTAATTTCAGGACCTTGAACAATTCCTTCAGCCTTTCACACTTTCCAAGGTCCTGAAGTATTCCAGCACTTTCAGGACCTTGGACAGTTCCTACAGTTCTTCACACTGTCCAAGGTCCTGAAACATTACGGCACTTTCAGTACCTTGGATAGTTCTTTTGGTCCTTCACACTGTCCAAGGTCCTGAAACATTACAGCACTTTCAGGACCTTGCATGTGGCTCTGATGCTACAGAGGCTAGAGACCATACACCTGATGAATACCTGACATCAGAGTTCACTCCTCCCTACACCAAGGTGTAGGAAAGGMGACACGAAGAAAACAAACARGAAAACAAATGAAAATGATCAAACTCATTGTGATTTATCAGCAGTAAATGGTCCTGGCATCCAAACAAACGCTCCCCCAATTACTGGTGTAGCAGAAGTGAACAAAAGCTGGTGAAAACCTACATAGAACTGAATTGAGAAGCTGCAAGGTTAACAGAATAAAATATGCACARTTTTTAGGTAGTTCTCAGCAGCAAATGATGATGAAAGTCTGATCTGTTTGTTCAGTACATTCATTGTCACGTGAGATTAAAAGAAGCGTAAAACAGCGAATTAGTTCTCACCGAGTGTGGATGAACTGATTAGACTCAAAAAACATGAAAACAGCAGAATGACTATGTGCAGCAGTTTGCCACACGTGGAGCTCAGAATAAAGCTGCTCGCTTAACATCCACCATGCTCTGAACAAAACCAGCTGGGTCCTCTGAAGTTGTGCTGAATCATCATGACTGCACATCWACGGCGCACATTTATGTTAAACAGCATGCACCATCATCATTCATTTGTTGTTTTCTTCTGCTTTTGCTCCATATTAATATTACATTTTGTAAATCACATAATAAGATGAAGATTGAAATGACTGCAATGTGACAACATATTCATTTAATATTTTAAACACAACAGTTTTGGTCGAGAGCACAATGGAGGGGAGGAGGGATACATTTCTCCCAGGCTCGAGGCCAAATATTTATGTTTCTGGCAGCAGGGATAGCTGCTTGTTATGCTTAAATTTTGGGGTATTAGCACTGCAAAAACTGGTCAGCCAAAAGATTGTTTTATGTGATGCAAAGGTTGGCTTGATGTATAAATCTGTGGTTAGATTTTATTAGACTGGAGAGACATGTTGAAATGAGTGTCCTAAACAAGCGTTCATTAATGTTGTTTGATGATGAAYTTAGGACATTTTGTTAAAGATTTTAGACATCATATACTATCTGAAGGAATTTTTTGTGTTCCAAGTCGCTTTTTTAAAAGATATTTGGCCAGTTAAATATTATTATTTTGGGATTTTCAAGATTTAAATAAAAGTATATTTGATTTTTTCAGTCACTATAGAAATATTTTTGCAGGTCCC